TTGTAACTTGTAATATGCACGTCGTTTAACTTTTTACGTCATGTGAAAAAATTGATCGAGTATAAATCGAGTTTAAAAATATAAAAATATAAAAAAGAAACTCGTATATCACGTATAGCCGAAAGGTAGAGGTAAACAGGTCAGATCAACGATCGTCGATCAAAGCACGATTTAATCGATTGAATTCCGTTCGCGTAGCAGAAGAGGGCTCGTTCGCATGGATAACGCATACCAGGGGCAACGTGATTTTCACCTTGACCGTGAACAGGTCATTGTCCACATATCCACTGGTTCGATTCCGAAATGGTCGACTTTTCGGATTTTATCCAATTAACTGAAACGTGCGCTGCATCGTTTGTTTATAAAATAAATAAATCTATTTATTTTAATCTTTTAAATTAAAATGATTGTCAATATAATAATAATGAAAAAATTATTATTAAATAATTTATATAATAAAAATAAATACAATTAATTTTCCACGTGAATGCTCGCGCGTGCGAAATTTTTGCTCGCAATATTCATCAGTTTGTACAAAACTTTATTAGCAAGTAAAACTTGGAGATTGTTCAACGAAGAGTGATTATAAATTAAACAATATTGAAGAGCGAGATTCTATCAGAACCTCGGAATCTTGCGACATAGTCGGATTAAGTTCTAGACTGTAGATTTTATTTTGTTTCAAAATTTTGAATAATTTGTAACGCCAAACTCCTGTGATGAGTTAACTTTCTAATGACGAAAACTGGATTAATCCAGTTAAATTTGAATTTGACACGTGCTTTCAAAACGCAGATTTCGATAAATTTGGGTGTATATATTAAATAAATTAATAGATTAATAAATTTTTATATAAAAATCAGGTAGCAAAAGAATATCAAAATTAATTAATTTTTATCATTTAACTTGCTCAATTATTTGTCTAATTCAAAGTAATGACTTTTGTGTAACTAAATAAAATGTAATTTGGAACTTGAAGGCAAAAGTATCTTTTCTTTGAGCCTACTAATTAAATCTTACAACTTTTTGTTTCTTTCTTCCAGTTTTAGCAAATTTGGCGAAACGATAAATAAATCAACCAAGAACAAGGTTAATTTTTGGAAGTTAATTTCTCGACCGTGCGTGTGTGGCAGATTAAACGGAAAATTGGATTGCGAAGCTAAGTCTCACTCTGTAATAACAAGTTGCCAAGTACGACAACAAGTCTTTCGGAAAGAAAAGTTGCTGTTGTCGAAAAATATGAAAGAAAAAAAACGGAAATGCGCGGGGTCAGTTCGTCGTAAGATATACTTCGAGGACCTTCGTTCAAGGATTTCACACTCATATATATCTCGACTTGTCAAAAGAAAGGTCGATCATATCTGATATTTACAAAATAAAATAAAATTATTATTATCAATTGGCGAAGTTGATGACTCTTCTCGAATTATCTTTAACAATTCTCGAATTTAATCTCTTGCAATTTTCTTTCTATAGTTCTTTAAGGCTGCACGAATCCACGTTTAAATCCATAATCTCACATTTGCTCCGCAATTAATTTCCATTTATTCCGGAAAATAGCGAACTGCAATTTCTAAAATACATTTCATCAGTTCAGCAATCTTACACTTGCATGTGTAATTTAAACAGCAACACTTACGGCGATAATTACGGCACTTCTTGTAACGTAGTAATCAAGGTAGCGAGAAAAGCGCGCGCACATAAAAAGCGGCGAGAGAGAGAGAGAGAGAGAAAGAGAGAGCCGTTCTCCAACTGCTATTCCTCGTTGCTTCTTCGAGCAAAGTTTACATCTTTCTAGGAGCATCCTCGAGAAGTCGAAGGTGAAGCTTGTGTCGGCGAACGAGGGATTCGCAGTAGTTCAAGGAGAAAACCGAGAACGTAAGCGCGTGCAATCGAAGGTAAGAAGACGAGACGAAGAACGGGAACGCGCGCGGGCGAAGAAAAGCTGCATCTTCGAAATGCCGATTGGCAATTGACATTTATCATCGACTAGACGAGAAAAATAAAAAAAGGAAAAAAAAACTTTCCTCGTCCGTCACGAACAATCCGCCTTTCGCAATCGCGGTGATTTAAACTTTAGAGGTCCAAGCATCACGGACGGTAGACACGACTTCTTCGATTTCACATATAGCTTTTCGACCAGCGTAGAGTTATAAATTTATCCAATTACTTGACAGTTTTCTCGCGCAAACTCGGACGATAAAATCAGAGTGACGACGCGGTTTTTAAAGTTCCAAAGCAAGTCCGGTACAATTAAATAGCCGTTCCCGTGACCTAGAAGAGCAGCGCCGATGCATGATTTTTCGAGCTCGCCAACTTTTACTCTACACAACAGAGTCGCATCGAGTTGCGATTGAGTTAAAAGACGATGAGGTCTGTACGAATGTTGAGGATTCGACGGGACACTCCTTTAAGAGAATGTTGATCATGACTATTTTACCGATTTTGAGTTCAAGGGTTTTTCTTTTTATTGACTATACAGATTGAAAAATCCTTCTCCACAATTAAAGTACTGATAATAATGAACGGGGAACGCTGTAATTTTGTATAAAAAAAATCAATAAAAGTTAAAGTTTTTTTATCGGCCTCTTGCATCAGCTCATAACAATACTTATTTAATACAAAAGTTCTGCAGTTTATTTATGCGCAAAATATGGCGCTCCCAATAGAAGCGACATGAAAGAATAATATAAAAGTAACTTCAGTACAGTTCAGTAACAGTACTTTCATTGTGGAGGCTTTTTCAATTTGTATATTTAATAAAAAGTGAACCTAACCTAACTTAAAGTCGGTAAAACAGAACAATGGCAGCATCCCCTTAAAGACGAGGCAAGAAAGAACAAAAGGAGAGAACGGAACGGGAGAGAGGCCGTCATTTTTTTTATATATACGCGAAATACGAGAACTGGTTTCCCGCGTGGTTTCCCATATTTTTTCATACGCGTTATACTCGTGTAAGGTGAACGTGCGCCCTCGTCGGCATCTTGTGCATCTCGCCAAGGACTCGGTTCGCTTAGAAATGTCACTGGATCCTCCGTACAATGCCCCGAGGATCTCCGAACATCGCCGAAATAAATTTATTCCTTCTTGTAGAGAGAAGGGAGAGAGCGAAGAGAAAGAGCCCTTACACAAGTGTCACGTTACGCGTAAAATAATTATGCCTTATATCACGTCAACCACATATGTGTGTCCGATTATTACCGACCTGTACCACTATTCCGATCAACCGGTGCTGGCGCAAATGCATATCTTTATCCCCTATTGCGTAATGAGAAGGTGTAATATGCCGGGAAATTAATTCTCTTTGATTGTGTGTATGCGTCAGTGAGAAATTTTATTAATCTTTTATAATGACTTTTAATTCATTTATAATACGCGTTATAATCGCGATTAACGTTGTGTAATTCTCGTATCTCGAGCTAGGCTCCGAGGTGTACAATTATCAAGTAGGAAGCGAGATCTTCCGCACTGGAGAACGACTTAGTTTTACTTGCTTGATTCTGTGTATTTAATTTTTTATATCCATTGTCACATTGAAGGATCTTTATATACGCGCATATTTCCCCTTTGTTCGCTAAATTTTATGATATAAATACCATTGTAAACGCTAGTCAGAATTAATGCTAGAGAAACAGACATCTTTTCGCCTTCATTAAAATACATAAACATTTCGAAAACAATAAATTTTCCGATCGTCGAAAAATACGCACGTTTCGCGAAAATGCGTTTTTCGCGAGCGTCGCGTAAAATTCGCGAAAGGTCAAAACTCGATACTGCGGAAACAACTGCACTCGCTTCGCCGCGCATGCAAACGATATTACTTCCGCGAGGATGCACATATCTTACGGTTACGTACTTAAAGGGATCGAGTCGCGTTAACGCGATTTCACGGAAGTACGATCGAGCGATTAATTTTCACAAGCTAACTAAGAGCGATATTCGTTACAAACGTTTCCCCTCGCGTCTGACTTTTTCCTCTTATGCCTTCCGGTTTCGTCCTCAAGCGTGACACACGACCTCTTATAATGCCACACATCGAGTGTACAAACGTATACTATTTTCCTCGCTTATCGTGTCTGAAAACGGCAAACTTGAGCGAGGTTCTCGAATGAAAGTAAGGAAGAGACACTTTCTCAAGTTTACGAGCGCTCTTCGGACATCATCGCGGGCCTCATCAGCGTCTTCATGGCGATCGTAAAAAATAAAAAGCTTTGTACAATGGTCCCGTTTTCACTTCTTTCGGCCAAAGTCATGGCTTGGACCTTGGATGTTCGACGAACGATCGCGACAAATTCTCCTCGTCGCATAATAATTGATCGAGGGTGTTCAAAGAGCTCATCGTGATTCTTAGATTCGCGCTGAATCCAGTTTTCGGACCATAACAGCATTCCTGATGTGTCAAAAGAAGCTGGCAATCCGGTCGAGTTAAAAATGATCCTCGCGTTGAACAAAATAAGGAATAAATAATGGTTTTCGATGCCAGCCAGGTAGAGAAAATAAAATTCGAGCAGATTATTCTGCATTCCATCCAGGAACCAACCACCCAGAAACCCGAAATTTTTGTTGCTTCTGGCAACAAGATTATCAGCGACCAAAGTCTTCAAATATTTCAAAACAGATATGATAAGCTCTAATTATATCCTGTTTCATCCAATCCAAATAAAATGGACGATATTATTAAACGTTACTAGAATAATTATCGTTCCAACATTGCGACAAACAAAATAATCTCTCATCGCACGCGCTTGTAATAATTTTAGAATTAAAAAATTTTGAGTTTTAATTGTCCAGTCTAAAGAAAGAGAGAGAAGCTGATTCTCTTTTTAAAGAACAGACACACTTCGCTCCTACCGTTTTCCTGATGCTCTCGTAAAAGGTGGCAGCACAATCCGGATGGTGAAAGTATTCCCTGATGAAGTGGGCAGGAGTGGTGGTGCACATATAGAGGGGTGGAGAGGGCGCGGCTTGTTCAGACGCTCTCTGTCCTGACGACGACGACGATGTCGCCGAAGTTGATATTTTGCTAGGATCTCTGTGTCTACTTGCCGGTAAGTACAATTTATTCTGTCCGTAATTAATAACCTACCACGGAGAATTTTTCGCGTCGCGATTTCCTCGGCTTGGATTAAAATTGCATTATTTATAAATCGCCCGTTCGTGAAAATTTAATTCAATTTTCAAACCTCGCCTAACTCACGTCGAGTGTGTCAAAGTCAATGGGGCAACCCCTGACGTATCGCCGAACGAGAAATTAATTTTCAAATTGTGAGAGGGATCAATTGCGCAATAAGAGAGCGAAGAAGCACTCTCTATCGAGAAGAGTGTCTTGGAAAATAAATTGGAATTGTAAATGAAGATGAGAGGAGAATCTTCGTTCGAAATCGACGTTAATAATCGCGTACATTTCCAAAGTGGGGGAGAAAGAGAGAGATAGAACCTACTTTGGAGAACCACTGTCGCTTTCCCCCCGTTGCCCTGACATTTCCAAGACTTTCTACTTCTACCGGAGTTCACCGACCCCTCCTTCGATCGCCGATCGCAATGCGCGCGCTCGATGTCGTGAACCGATCGTGACATTTGCAACGATTAATCGAATTTACCTCCGCTTTGTCCCGGCGCGAAATGTCACATGTTCGATTCGAACACGTATCCTTTGATCGCGCCGACCGCTCCCAATTTCCACGAAACGCTGTTACATCACGATTGATCGGAAACATTCGCAAGAGATACTCCAAGAAGTCTCGGCTGTCTAAAGATTGCAACACAATTTTTTTATGCACAATTGGGGGTCATAAGAATATATTTATCAAAAAATATATTCTCATGACCCCCAATTGCGCATATATAATATCTGAAACATTTAACAGCTATCGAATAAGACCTGGCTGTGACAAGAACAATTTTTAATTTTCCATCAAAAAAATATACTCTTAATAGTTATCAAAAATTTAATAGTTATTAAAAAAAGAGACACGACTGACAAGAAGATTGAAAGAGATGTTGAACTAATTTAATGATTCGCAAAATATGAGCTTGTTAATAAAAAAAATGGTTTTTATTCGCAGCGATACAGGTCAGGGCACAAGATGAGGAAGGCAACGAGGGAACTGACGCAAACGCCGAGGAACTTTGTCAGGACAGGCCGGGCGACGAATACTTTCGCTTGAGCGTTGAAGGAGACTGTCGCGATGTCGTGAGGTAAGCCTCGTTGTCTCATTATTCTATCCGCGAATGCAGGATCGGATCGAGTCACCTCGACATCCCGAACGAGCCGAGATAACTTACCTTTTTTCTATATTTCACGCATAGAGAAAGTAACCTTTTTCCGCTCCTCGATAATTTGGAAAATGTTGGCGACTCGATCCGCTTTGTATTATCATTATGTATATAATATGTTGCCTTATATAATACAATGTTTATAATCTACAAAAACCGCGGGTAAACGAGATCGCGCGAGAAGGTGAGTCGGTTTCGAGTCAAAAAAACTCGCTCGCTCAACGTTGACTCATTGTCAGTTCCGCCTCGACTTGTTCCATTAATTTTACAGGTCGCCGGCGAGTAATTAGTCTCGCGTTCAATGAGTTAACTTTCTCTGATTTTAATCTCATCCCGTTTGCCCGCCATTATTTATAGACATTTTAGAGGTTAAAATTTAGTAAATGACCCTTCTCTCTCCTATTATACGAAATGCAAGAAAAGCGAGTTTTTTTCGCGACATCCTTTAAGAAGAATATAAATCTCAAGGACATCCGGTTTTGACAGGACGGGCATATATAATAACCTGGGAATGCGGTTGACGATAAGCTATTAATTAATAAAAATAGCATCCACTGTTTGACTTATTGATCCAGGATGTGACTGATCGAATCCTAGGATTTTCCAGGCCTCAAGGCGATCCGGTAGACCCGAGACCAGTTTAAAGAAACTTCTCCCATCATTTTATATAATTTATTTTTATAATTACCACGAATAGCTCTTTGTTGCATAATAATAGCACCATCATTATCCCTTCATTTACACTCGAACTTGAATTCCATCCGAATATATATATATACAAGATTCTATGAAAACTTAAAATCATATTAATCGAACACAATGGAGGAACGCAATAAACATTGCATTACTCGCTCGTATATTACGTCGCGTCTAAACAATAGTTCACAGCGTGGCGTCAGTTAACAATATCTCGAGACAATTAAGCACGTTTGTTTTTTTTAAACGCATTGTTTCCCTCCTCCATTGTGTTCCGGGCTCGCGTGTTACTTTTTTCGCGAAGCGGAGCGGAGTCGAGAAAATCGCTCCGACACGAGGAAGGATATTATTTCGAATGTGAGAATGATCCTAGGTGCGACAAGGCCAGCGAGATCGGCGTGACCAGGTTGGCGACGGTGCGATGCCCGACGGGTCTCGCCTTCGACATCGAGCGGCAGACCTGCGACTGGAAGACGAACGTGAAGAACTGCGATCAGCTCGAGAGTAAGCGAACATTACGTCTTTTTCTCACGTTAGACTCACGCAGGCACCCTCTGTTTTCTGTCCCGGTACCGCCAGGTGTACAAGGTCCGGCCTGAAGCAAATCACGTGCCCCAGCGGACTGGCCTTTGACGTGGACAAACAGACCTGCGACTGGAAGGGCAAAGTCACCAACTGTGACAAGCTCGAGAGTAAGTCGGAGGGTCGGCGACGACGTCGGCTGTACGTCGCCGATTCCTTGACTAAGTAAGACTCGCAACGTAGCACGCACCATCCTCTACCGCAGCACTCTCTACAAGGAGGGAAACACCTTACATTTTACAGTTAAACAATCGCATGGTATATAGCAATCTGTGCACACTTTTTCAATGAATATGCAGGGTGTCCCAAAATTATCAGACATCCTGTTAATATATAGGGAAATTCCTCAGGTTATTTGAAGACGATTTTTTGCAAAGTAAACTTTGTAGAAATAAAATATTAACAAAATCACATTCTTCAATTAATTTCAGGTAAAGTTTACTTTAGTGGCATTTTAATTTAAAACTTAATTATACAAAGATACATGATGGCAAAAATTGAGAATATGCAAAAAATGATGACCTCCTTCGACATTTTTGCTGAGGAAAAATCGTCTCCAAATAACCTGAGAAATTTTCTTATTAACAGGGTGTCCGGTAATTTGGGGATAAAAATGTCATTTAAATATCTTACGATATATTCATACGAAAAATCTGCACAAATCGCTGCCAAGCGATTGTTTAACTGTAAAATGTAAGGTGTTTCAAAACTTGTGGAGGATACTGTATATCATTAGAAACTAAACGCATGAGATCGCGTCTTCTTCGCTGCACCTTTTTGCAATCCCATCCGCGATGCGGAACGATCGGCTGAGCGTCTCTGAAAACTCTCTTGTTGAAGATGGAAATTTCTTTTTCTTTTTAATTTTCCGTCTCGATCAGTCGCAGATCTCTCGACAAGTCCGTCACCCAATTATCGATGAGAAATGTCTTCTCAATCGAGATATTGAAGATATTGCGCAACCGTCCGTTGCGTAAACGAATCGCGCGGATCGAAAAAAAGTCGGCGAAACTTTCCAACGCGGAAAGTCGCGCATTAACATAGCGATGAGATTCGACGCGAAATGGAACTGAGAGGGAAAGGGGACTATACTTTGTACGGCCGGATTAACGATCGAAAACACCCGATCGGGAATTCCGATACTTTCGAGAAATATTATCGTAGAGACCAATTCGCCGTCCGATCACTTTCGTTCCGAGGCGAGCGGTCGATGGGACTGGTTTCGATTTTCAGCGAAAGTGCGAGCGGGCCACGCGAGAGAGGAAACGAAACGAGAACGTTTATTCGGAGACGCCACGATCGCGAGAGCATCGCGAGCTAATCCGGTTTCGAAACCTATCATCCTATTTTTTTTCAAGCGATATTCACGATTCACCGCGTACGACTAACAAAGCTGCACTTTCCAGTGGAATTAGACGAAGAAACCGGCGTTCCTTTTTTATTCATCATTTTCTAAACTGCATTTGCATATTTTATTGTTCTTCCAATTGTTTAAAATAATAATATTCGTATATTTTATATTATAATTTATCTAATACTAATAACTATATATATATATGTATAAATATATACGTATATATTTTTATTATAACCTTGGATTAAAAATGTCTCGTGGAAGAATTTTTCTCATTTGCCACAAGAGACAATTTCAACTGATAATAATTTGATAGATTTAAATAATTTAAATAAAATAATTTTTTCTCGTATTTCTTGCGGTTTTCGTCTAATTCCGATTTTCATCAGATTTGTTTAATGTATCGGCTTATATCATCGAATTACGTGCCAATGCGTGAACACGCGGAAGACTAGCAGCACATTTCCGCGTTACCATTCGCGAGAGGCGATCAACGATCAAAGCGAAATATCTCTCGCGCAAGTGAATATGTGTCAAACGTTATCTCGTTTACCAGCTCGGAGCACTTACTTTTGAGCGACAGCGCTCGAAGTCGATCGCCGAGTGACCAGATCTCGCGTTAACTAAATAAGCTTTATCATAGAGGATTATCGCTGTTTATGCAAACGTATTCCGTAATTCGCGCTTTGATAATCCTACAATAATCGCGATCTTTGCGCCGGTGTTTCGAAAACCGTAATTTCATTTAACGCATCGCTGCGCTCCAATTCCATGTTCTCATCGAATAATACCCAGCTTCGCGGACAAATTAATCCAGTGTATCAAATTACCATTAATCAAACGCACGATGAATAAATCTCGACAAAATCGGAGAAAAGATCTCAATTATGTATATTTCACATCGCGTACGTCATATCGACCAATGTAAATATAAATGTCAAATGTCAATCACGCACAAAATCTGAATTCGCACAATTCCATCATTGGCACGCAATAATTTTCTAACACATTTAGCGCTCTCCCTTTCTCATTTTTCCTGCCCCCCTTCTGCATCCGACATTCGCTCCAGGTACGAGGTTGCACGTATTCGCCGATTCTTTCTCTCCGCATCCAGATCGGTTTCGCTTCGGCGGATCTGGCCTCCTTATAGGAGCTCCTCGCTACTCGCTCAACCCCGACCGGCCGGCTGGCTTTTACTACTGAAATCTCGAAACACGTCGCGCACTCAGCCCGATCGTTAATCTCCCGCCGCGGGAGGCTCTTCTCTCTTTTTTCGCCGATGTAATCCTCGTTTTCACGACTGGATCAAGTACAACGAAAGATGGCTTATGAATCTTTCGTATCCATTTCACAATCTGTCGCAACTGCGATCGACAAGCAGGGCGTCGCACACTTTCTCTCCGATTGAAAGTATATATGTATATACGTGTATCAAAACTCTATTTTTTTATTATTTTAAAAATTAATAATTTTCATATATAAGAGAGTAATTCATTTCTAGAAAATAAAAAATTGAAATTTTGAGACATACTCAAGCTGATACAGAATGTTCTGTACAAGTAAGATAAAGCAATCCTATATTTGTTAAAAAAATAAGCATCTTTTTCTTTTGACCAAATTTCTAAAAATATATTGTTTTCGACATATCTTATTTTTGTAATATGCTAGTGTTATATGCTGTTTTTTATTCTTCATGGAAATAATTCTTCGTACAAATTTTAATCATTCTTTTCTGTTATAGTTAAATTGAATATTTACATTTGTATAATAAAACAACTTGAAATTTTATTCTTTTTATTTTTATTAATTATATTTTTTCAAATTATTTTCTTCTCTACAAATATAAATGCTAAACTTAATTATAACAGAATTATCAAAATTTTCATACGAACAATTATTTACACAAAGAATGAAGAAAATGCATCATATTGGCATATTAAAAACAGAAATGCAATTCTGAATGGAACAATTATTTTCCGCGTCGGTCGATCTTCAAAATCGCGTCAATCGATACCTATCATATATAGCTAATTCTCCTTATACTGCTTCGCATTCTAATTTCATCTTCCAATAGTTTCGCTCTTTTTCGTTCGCACAAACATATTTAAAAAATCATTTTTTAATCATACTTTTTCTCTCTCTCTCTGTCTCTATCTTTCTTTTTCGATCTCTCATATACACGAATAACGACTTGCGTGCATCGCTGCCAGTTGATGAGGCAGACAAACGCCAAGTTAGAATTTATCTTCGAGTTTCGCTCGTTGAGCGAAAGACAAATAATGGTCTTTCTACGAAAGGGAAGCTGCACAGACGAGACGTACACGTACATTCGCGGACAGTTGAAACGAAAAGCTATTACACGTTGATGGACAAAAATATATAGAAGTGTAAAAAAGGAAGAAAAATACTGAAAATAAAAGTAAACGAAAAGACAAGACAAACGAGACAAAAGCCATTCCGATGGAAGATCAACTGGGAAAAGAAAGGCAGTGGCGTAGGAACGTTTGTTAAAATGTTTCTTTTCTCTTCTGCGATAAGACTCGCAAAAAGAATCGTGAGAGCTCGAGATCTCCTCTTAAACTACCTGTATATATATTATATATATATAATCCGCCGCTATTTATTGAAAATATACACAGTAGTGGAGATTTGTATACTCTCTCTCTGTTTGTGTGTGTGCTGAGGTAGACTGCGGGAATTGGGTGGCACAAATTAATTCAGCACGATCCCCTTGACTTAACTGTGTTATACGCATATTTTGCATTTATTATATATTCTTTAAGTCCACGCAACGCACACGATTCCTACGCTGCTGCGGTAATAATCGGGAGATAATAGCATTCGGGCCTTGATTACACCTGTAGCCGAATCACCTGAATTATGCAGAGCACCGATATATAGCCAGCAATAAATATCTCGCGCAATAACTGGGCGTCAAGTGTCCATTACGAAATTTCGATTGCCTCAATTACACCCCTGGCTGTTCGCGTGATTTGCCAGAACCGACAGCGACAGGAAACTCATATTTAATATTCGACAGCTGGCCACAAAAATGTCCATTGCGAAACTTATCTTGGTTCAATTAACGACGTCAATTAAGCTTAATTAAGTGATCCTCGATAAAGAAAACTGTGCTTTGATGAAATTTCACGATAATGACTTCGATGATATTTCATTAATTCGCGCTGACGTATCATCGACTTAAAAAAATGCAATGTCAGACGTTTTATTGGTCACTCTGTTAATATTTGATGAATTCCGAAGTACGCTGAGCGCAGCTCAAACTAATTCGCAAATGAGGGAGATTTAACAGATAATTGTGGTACTTACAGAGCCGCGTAAAGTCTTGCCCATTCTCAAGACCGACGAACCCATTTGCCCGGAGGGGAAACTGTCGTGCGGTAACGGCGAATGTATCGAGAAGGATCTCTTCTGTAATGGCACGCCCGATTGCAAGGACGAGTCCGACGAGAACGCCTGCAGTGAGTGTCGCAATTATTATCTTCATAATTGTAATAAGTTTTATTTATTTTTCGTGCAAGACGCGTAATTGCCAAAGTATATCGGAGTAGATTTATTAAAAAGTTTATTGCATTTATGCATTTATTGCAGAGACACATTTTTATTTATTAATGTATGAAACGATTTTTTAAAGACCCTTCAAGCGGCTAAAAAGTTCATTTTCTCTTTTAGTTTTGAAATTATGCACAATCATTAAAACCCAATCAATCAAAACAATATTTTTTTTTTATTAAAGATGTGTTAAAATGGCATCTCTTAAAAATACTGTATATGTCACACGCTTTTATTAGCTTTGACATGTTTCATCTATTGTAAAATTGCTATAAATTTTTCGAACAACCACAGATATATTAATACTCTTTACACATTCACTTTAATAATGATAACTAATTGACGATAAATAATCACGAAAGAATTTTTATTAAAAAAATGCAATTTTTAAAATAATTTAAACAAAAAAAATAATAATATACCTGCATTACAGCCGTGGAGACCGATCCTAATCGCGCTCCAGATTGCGATCCTACGCAATGCGTCTTGCCCGACTGCTACTGCTCCGCTGATGGTACCCGAATCCCGGGTAACATCGATCCCCAGCAAGTGCCGCAAATGATCACGATCACGTTCAACGGCGCCGTGAACGTTGATAACATCGACTTGTACGAGGAGGTCTTCAACGGGCAACGTCAGAACCCGAATGGCTGCCAGATCCGCGGCACCTTCTTCGTCTCGCACAAGTACACCAATTACTCGGCCGTACAGGATCTTCATCGACGAGGCCACGAGATCGGTGTGTTCTCTTTGACGCACAAAGAGGATCCGCAATACTGGAGCCAGGGATCGTACGACGACTGGCTGGCCGAGATGGCCGGCGCCAGGCTGATCATCGAGCGTTTCGCCAACATCACCGATGGTTCCATCATTGGTATGCGCGCTCCTTACCTCAGGGTTGGCGGTAACAAACAGTTCGAAATGATGGCCGATCAGTTCTTCGTGTACGACGCGTCCATCACCGCGTCCTTGGGACGAGTGCCCATCTGGCCTTACACTCTGTACTTCAGAATGCCTCACAAGTGCAACGGCAACGGTGGCAATTGTCCGTCGAGGTCGCATCCGGTCTGGGAGATGGTGATGAACGAGCTAGATCGCAGAGATGATCCGACCTTCGATGAGTCCCTCCCGGGTTGTCACATGGTCGACTCGTGCTCCAATGTACAAACTGGAGAACAGTTTGCTCGACTGCTCAGGCATAACTTCAACAGGCATTTCAACAGCAACCGAGCACCGCTCGGTCTACATTTCCACGCGTCCTGGCTGAAGAGCAAGAAGGAGTACAAAGATGAACTGATCAAGTTCATCGAGGAGATGATCGCCAGGAGCGACGTGTACTTTGTCACTATGGTCCAGGTAAGAGATCGATTAATTCGCTTCTCTGTTAATTGTTTTTGAGTGAAATTTACAATTTTTTTATATTTTCTTCTTTCGATGATTAGGTGATCAAGTGGATGCAGCAGCCTACTGAGCTCTCCGGACTCAGAGACTTCCAGGACTGGAAGGAGACCTGCGACGAGAAGGGTCTGCCCTATTGCTCGCTGCCCAATGCTTGTCCACTAACGACCAGAGAGCTGCCAGGCGAGACCCTGCGTCTCTTTACCTGCATGGAGTGCCCCAACAATTATCCATGGTTGCTGGATCCAACCGGTGACGGTTTCTCCGCGAAAAAGTGATCTATCATCCGCGAGACAAGCCGGCCGCGCGATTTGATCTTTAAATAAATTGTTTGAAAAAGATCATTGATCGATATATATGGTATATATATATATATATATATATCGATTCGGCGTTATCACGCTATCAACGTGATAACGCCGAAATCGCGCGTCGTCGATCGCTGGCGATTTTGATTAGTGGAGACAATCACATCGAGAACGCGGCTTTTTGGGAAGAAGACACGAACAAAGAGCAATCGCGATAAAATGGGCAAAAGCGAGATTACGAAATCGTCTTCATCGCCATTAAAAAGCATCATCATAGCCGGAAATAGGATCGTTCAGCGAGTACGTAAAATAGAGCGAGGCACATTCTATTCTCGAAAACGCATCCGCGGCGGGTTTATCCGAATCCGCGATAGTCTCGACTATTATTATTATTATTTATACAAATTAGGATCGCGTTGAAGAAGAGGGAAAAGAAAAGGCGCGATGCGTTCGCGAGGATCGATTTCTCGTGCAAGATGAGCGGATAAGACTCAAAGAAAAAAGGACGTGTAAAAAAGAAAAAAGGACATGTACTTTGCTTTTTTTTCGCATCCATGAAACGCAAACTTATTTGCGAACAACGCGTAGTAAACTTACCGCAAGGATTGTGACTTTCGAGGACGAGGGCGAAACGATCCATGGAGACATCCCACTTGTAAATAACCATAATGGATTCTTCCTGCCCTCTTTCTCTTCTCTCTCCCCCTGGTCGATTCGGCACGTCCTCGTTGTTTTCTAGAGATGCTGGAAAGAAATGGACTCTCATAATTGATACAGCGAGAAATAAAAAATAAATATACACCATCTCGTGCCGCTCCTTCAACATGTACTCATTAAGATTTAAGCGACGTGCAAAAATCTAAGTAATTTTTAGTAATCTAAAAATATTTCCGAATAAAAACTGTACGTAGAAAAAAAGCAAACGGCTAATTACACTTTATTTCTCTCCTTCATCACTTTACTCCAAATTATTCATGGATATAGCCTTTCAGCGAATTATTAATTATTCTTTTGAGTGTAAATTGAATCATATGTAATGTTAATTCTGATATTTAAAATAACTTTTTATTTTACCAAGATTATTAATTATTCTTAATTCTTAAATGAACTATATAATTACATCCAAAGAATGAAGATTTTTAGATTCTTATATAGTACACATAAATATGTAGCATAATGATTGCATATGAACACAATTGCAATTGAAACGCATAGTTAAAATCTATCATTTTTAATATATACACAATTTTACATCGCGTAATTTCCTTATTATGAAAAAAGATTTATATAAAATACAGGAAACTGTAAAAACAATATTTAATAACACTAAAAAGTATATTTCTTTCTATTAAGATAAATTAGATCATGTCCATCATAGAAATATAAATGTCATTATTAGAAGAACAATTTGATGGCATTAATATGTTGTACTTTAATTAACCAATTATCTTATGGGTCATAATTAACTTACTAAAACGACTGATAACGAATAATAAACAAATTATACAATATTTTGAATATTTGAATACTTTAGTAAAAATTATTTTTTAAAAGATTAAAGAAAAAGAAAATTAGAATGATAGTGTACTTATAAAATAAACTATAAATAGAAACCAAATATTTCTACATAAATATGTTTCTTCAAGGCGAAATAAATGTAATGGATGTCTTACTCTAATTATACAAATAATGACTGAAGCAGATATCGATTAAATTCAAGGTTTCTATAGTATTATATAATATTAGGAAGGAAAATAAAGTTTTAAAACTCGAAGTCAATGACGCGGCACATATTGTATATGTTTCCTACATTTATAAAGATGATTTATTACATTTGTATTTTTTCTTTCGCCTACTTGGTATTGATTTCAGCTCAGTAATTATACAATAATGATTAACGATATTCTAATATTTCGATTATGTACAATTGATTTGAAAATTGATTTAAAAATTAAAAAAATTATTAAAATACATAGAATACATATAGAATTGTTAATTCTATAAATATCTAATATACCAAGTTAAATTAATTTCAGATACGTTCTGTTTGTAAAATTGGCCCTCATCAATGTAATTGGAAATTTTTGGGAGAAGTCATAAAACTGTTTGTAGGCAATTATAATCAATTAATTTATAGAATATTTGTACATAATTTCATTACATATATAGTTTATTAAAAAAACACGATATATTGATTTCGGATTATTTTCAAAGTCATCCCAGACAGCACCAAATCCAAAATTGGCGCATAAGATATCTTTAAGATACCTTTAAGATGTCTTTAGGATATATATCATATATCATAAGATTTCTTAAGCTGTCTGAAAGATTTCTTAATGATATATCTTATGCGCTAATAGACTTGATGCTGTCTGGATTAAATAAAGACCAAAGAATGTATATTTTGTTAGAGCTAATTGTCTCTGTCATAACTTCTTACCTTAGTTAACAATCATAGTAGAAAACAGCAGGTGGCATTTGATGACTTAAAGAGAAAAGAAGAAAAACTGAACGTTTATCAAGCAAAATGATCTTCAAGTGCTCAGCGCTCGGCCATGTACTGTTATCGTGGCTGTGGTTCGGCTCTCGATGTCTCGACAGTCTCGATTTCATTCATCGCTGTGAAGTTAGGTGTGCTGTCATACCATTGCGCGTGCGCAGTCTTGCGGTCAGTGGTGGGGATCAGTCTCGTACGAAACGTGCATCGTAGCGGACAGATGAGTCGCTCGTGTCTAATAAGGAAGCGAGAGGAGAGAGGTGTTTCGCCGCGTTCGGTTCATTCTTGGTTGATGGCGCCATCTAATGGCGAAACCAAACTTCACATAAAGTTTGGTTTCGCCGTCAGATGGCGCCATCGACTGCGCAAGAGACTTGCAGTCGGTGGGAATCAGTAAATCAGTCTCGCACGAGATGTGCAACGTGGTGGATGTGTGGAAACGTCTAATGAAAGTGCAGGTATTTTGATCGAAAGATTCTTATAGAAAATTCTATTCTTTTTTTGTTTTCATTTTCTGTTAAAGATTTAAATATTGAATTTTTGTTGTGAACTGAATAATATAACTAAATAATATATTTTTATCGCACTCATTAAAATAATTTCTAAACATACATTGCAATTTTTAATATTTTATTATCAAAGAATAATATATAATTTTACTTTGTGCGCGAATCTATCATATTGTTTTAAGTAATTATGTGTATGATAAAAGTGAAAATGTATTCTGTGTGAAAAGTGAAAGTGTATTCTGTGTGTATATTTAAATTCTATAGAAATACATATTCAGTCAGTTTCAATATTAATTCAATATAAATTGAATTTCACCAATAAGTTTTAATTTTCTTAAACCTACTACATAATTACAATGCAAACATAGTTTATTATTATAGCATGCAAATTCAAATAATATATAAAGATTTAACACACATTATAAAAATTGGTTCTACAATAAGGCTGCGTATAATTTCTAAAAACAATAAACAAGCATTAATAAGAAAACGATATAAAGAGCCATGCATGAATATTGATGCACAAGAATAAATTTGCTATTTTATTACTTGATATCGAATTGTTACTACAAATAAAGATTTAAATTCTTATGTAGTACATACAGATGAAAATGTGGAATAATGATTTGTATTTGAACAATTAGAACGCGTAATTCAAAATTTCATTCATAATATATACATAATTTTTATATCGCGTATTTTTCCTACAAATAAAAAAAGCAGACCACTGTAAACAATATTTAATAAAATTTTAAAAATATATTTGATTCTTGATTTGATTTGATATGTGTTTCAAAACTTTTGCGACACTATATTTTCTAGATCTTTTAAAAATAAAAATTCTTATATATTAAAATGTCAATATATTACAATATTGATTATTATATTTGTCAATATTACAATATATTGAATTTACAATATATTGAATATTATATTTAAAGAATATTAGAATAATGTATAGAGTTTATCGATTAAATTATCTCGTTTGCCTAATTATGTTATTTAACGCAATAAATAATTTAACGCGTAAAATTATTAACTCTATCATATCTTTAATATATACCTATAGCTAGCTGCTATTCATATTTCGATTATCGAGTTACACCTATTATACATGCAATAAAAATAATAACAGTTTTATTTTATCAAGAATTTTATGTGAGAATGATAGCTAGCTTTTAACAAATTTTTTCGATACACATTTTATATTTAAAATTAAAATATCTTGACCATTTTACCTTTTCTCTTTAAACCTAATCTGCCTAATTAATAGAAATTAGCAAAACTTACAATCTTCTTAATAACTCCTTTTTCTGTTTGCTGTCCTGTTTCCGTTTCGAAAAAGCCTTCGATTCATGCAGGATGGTTATTCATTAAACACTAATGTTGTGCTTTTTTTTCAATATAAGGAGGTGCGAAGATAGACGTATCTATTGATTTATCGTGGATGCAAAATTTCATAGAATACGTGTCATAAAGTTCAGTGCAGTGCCTTATTTCGAATTCTTGCAGCCAGTCAATATCTGTATGTTGATTTGAATTCCAATAGTCTGGACATAATATTTTTCTGCGTCGGGCAAACTCGTAAGCCAATCTTGATAATAGTTCAAAGACACAAACTTGGCAAATACAATTTGGACGATTATCGTCAATCCAGTTTTTTAACTCTAGCAAAAGTAATTCCTCTTCCTTATATGAAAACACTTTTATACTATTTTCTGGTTTTTTGTCATACAATGTATAATCTTCTTTAAATTCAGCACGTGTTATTTCAGTGGATAGCTCAGTTTCAGCGATTTCATAATGATTTGCAGTCTTTTTTATAGACTTGTTTTGAGTAAGCACATCCTGTATTGCTGCTTCATATATATTTCTTATTTTATAATATTTTTTCTTGGATATTAACATATTTACTCTTCGAAGTAGTGTTTCATCTATAAGTTCATCTTTTGCCGCTTGGTCCATTACTGCTTGCTCTACATTGTCTTTTAAATTTAAATCTAATTGATTTAAAATTTTATTTGCTGCTCTCGCGTACATACATCTGTGTCTGAGCGTTCTTATAATCTTTGGTCTCAACATTGGATTGGTAAGATCCATTATAAGAAAATCTACAAAGAAAAGTAGAAGTAGATAGAAAAAAGCACACAGGTATTATTATGAACGAAGGAGTCATTTTGCAATATCGCAAAATAAAAATTGTAAAGTCATTTTCGCGGTTTACACGTATATAGTTATTAAGTGTTCTTTATCGTAACTTTATAATTTTAGGAACTCGATAATATATATGTGTTTTCGAAAAGTTTTTATGAAGAATAAATAAATTTTACGAACTTTTACAATGTAATATTCTGAAAATTTGAATGTCCTCGTAGAAACTACTTAAAAGATCTTAAAAAAAGAGAAAAAAGAGAGCGATGGACTACTTACAAAATAGATTAAAATAATAGAGAATTTTCTAAACAAATTTCTTTTTATTTATTAAATCACGAAATATGAACTGTACACGTGTATTGAAACTGTTTGTATGCCAACGAAGCACAAGAATATCACAAGAGAGATCAAATTTAAGATTCATAATATTATTATGAAAGTAAATAACTAATCTCTACATAATGTGTTCCTATGATGTTGTTTTCTTACATTTTTTGAGAAACGTTGTTTCTATGTTTTAAATTGAATATTTATATAATAATTCGTAAAACATTAATTTTTCGATTATTTATAGATAAACCATTAAAAAGCTTGTCTTGAAATAAAAAGCGTTACTTCAGTTTTACTAAAAATACATACATAATTGAGGACGTTTTTTAAATATAATTAACATCATCAAATGATATATATATTTCCAGCGTTGAGTTAGAATTCTGCAATAAATAATTGTTAAAATAGGAAAATACAGGAATCATTCAAAGGAATTATTCAAAGTATGTACTAAATCGTCTTTTTAAATATTTTTTCTTTTCTATATTGAATTGTTCTATGTTGTATTATTCAATTCTAATAAAATTGTGTGTAATTTAATGTTACATCGAGAATTTAATACACTATAAGTAATCGTACGATTCTCTAATAAGAATTATGAAAGTATATGCTTTCTAAATTTAAATTTTCACTTGATTACATGTACTTTTTACGATACGCAATATCCATTGCTGCATATTTTTAATGTTGTGAGAAAGAAATATATCCACGTTACTATATTTATATATTTTAAAATAGTCCTTGTAGTTCACATGTTCCTCGAGTTCAAGAGAACATATGTACCTACAGGATTTTTATTCCATCAAATAATTTATAATTTATATTTATAATAATCACAAAACTTTATATTTTTTCAAAATTAAAACATAGTATAATAATATAAAAAATATATATATATATATTTTAATGTCGTAATAATTATAACAACAAAAATATATAATTATAACATTTATAATAAAATATAATTATTTTTAATAAAATATACATATACTTTTGTATATGGATTTTGAAAATAATATGAAAATCCAGAAAATCTTTTCATGTTTTTCTGAATAGTTAGATTTTCTAAATATTGAATTTTTTTAACTAATATCTGAGTTAACTTGTTGACCAATATTTTATGAAGCCATTGCATTTTGTATCAAATCTATAGTTTTTCTGACGATAAAATTGAAACTATTTTTTGCACGATCTATTCAAATTCGTTGTTTTATGTTAGTATCAAATGATACAAATACTTTGTTTAACATTTTGTCATGTATTTTACAAAGAACAAATACAATCAAGTAACATATAACTTGAAAAGAAAACTCAATTAGATATATATATATACATATATATAAAATCAATATGATATATATACACATATTATGTTGTGTTTCTGTGATAGAAAAGAGGAAAAAGATTGGTCATTCACATGGCAAGTAAGAAACGCATGTAAATTATAATATTTATAAATAAAAAAATTATATATATATATATATATATATATATATTATAATATAAAATGAATCTGTTTAAACGTACACACACGAAAGAGAGACAATCGCGACGCAACGTCCTATTTTTGCTTTTGCGCAATTAAAAATTGATAAAATGTAATCTATATGTACATCAATGTGCTAATTAGTGCTGCTCCAATCTGTTGAAAGCACTCTAACATAGTTTATTTATCACAGTAACACCTCGACTGACGTCACGTCTATATCTAAATCGCGCGACGCGCTTCCTGAAGATTTCTTGTGTACAGTGACGAAACTATTGTTCAATAATTAAATGCGAATCCTGATCGCTAAACTATCCAAGAATATTCTTGATCTAACGCTCCAGATTTCCACAGTTATGGTGCACTTGATGTTTCGTCAGTTAATTCGACGAAATGCCGTCGTATCTGCTTTCATTTCTACATTTCGCTCGTGTACTTTGAGCATCACTGTTTTACGTACTCGTAACGAGTGAATCGTGCGTTGAATTTCGGGCTTTTATTTATTTTCAATCGTTCATGCGCGCAAACAATAATCGCTCTAATATGATAATTAAAAGAAAATAACATCCTGCTTCATCATCTCGGTCGCACATTTCGTAGGTCATATACCGAGATAGCTGCAGAAGATGAACGCGCCGCATATACATAAGATTATCAGCATAATGACGAACCAAAATGGCAGTGTATCTGAAACATTTGAGAGAAGTTTGTTACATTTCGTAAACTTGTTTTCAAAGATATAGTATCAAGAAAAAATTTGTTTGCTAATAAACTTACGTCTAAATGGTATGCTGTGTATACAGATCCTGTTATCCACAGAGATACTGACAACCGCGGTCTCCGTATTACTGGTAATCGCGACGCCGTTCAATTGATCGTTCGTTGGAAGGAATTCTAGACCAGTCACAAACATGCTGTGCGCTCCGGGAACATGAAGCGCCTTTGTCAAGCTGAATGCCACGAATATGTCGACACTGCCCGAGAACATTGTGCCGACAGCCACGAATTTACCATCGTTAGAAACAGCCAAAGCTGACAGGGCCTCCTTGTAGGGAGCAGACTTGGTTATTGCACCGGTATTAGCGTCCCATAACTGAAGGAAACTAGAATTTTTCGCCGTTACGGCATTAGTGAGCATAAATAGATCATTCTTCTTCTCGTCCTCTGCCAGTTTCCTGAATCGACATCTTTTGTACATGTACTTGATACCGTCTGGCGGCTTCCAAGTAAGCTCTCTATTCTCTTTGCTCTCTATGTTCCATACAAAGGCTTTTCCATCTTTGGCAATGCTCACCAAGAGGTTGCCATTAGGACTGAAATCTATATCGTCTATTTCCTTTCCATGTGTTCCAAGATCGTACAATTTGTCCAGTTGTGGAAATTTCCATAATCTAACTTTACCATCTGTGCCACCTGTAGCCATAATTTTCCCTTGAATGCTCACTCTGACAACTCTCTGTAAAGGCTCATCCCTGTACAACGAGAAAGAAATTCTTGTTATAAATCAGTTTTTGTGATATTCTTTGATATATTATAAGTATAATAAATTATCTTACCCAAAAGTTGTCTGTACACTGCCAGAAGACTCAAGAACCAATTGCAATTTCTTGCTCTTGACATTAGAATTGTTATCTTTAACTTCCTCTGCCTTCTCCTTTTGCAATTGAGAATCTTCAACTCTTTCACTGTTTTTTTCTATGTCTAAGACCATCCTTGTGTGTTGTTGCTGTTGACCCTTTGATCAATTCTCCATTCTCCGAAGTTACCAGCTTGGGATTTACATTATACAGTTGACAGTGGCTCTCCTGACCAGCAGCGATCCATGTCTTATTGCCATTCCTGTGCGAAACACAATTCATAACGACACTCGGACCTGTTTCATGCCTGGTTACTTCTTCAGCAATAAAGTGTGTTCCGTTGTGTGACAGTTCAAAAATTTCCTAGACAAACATATCATAATCAACATGAGTATCGCATTTGACATTTATCAAGATTCTAATAACATCATTGTCAAAATATCTTGTCAATTTATTCAAAATTACATAACGTGACGATTTGTCCAAGTTATCAATCAATCATTTTAACATAAATGCAACGTGCTAAAAAAATCTGTTAGCAACTCACAAATCCATTAGCAACTCCGGTTTTGGAGGAACCGCCCCCGCCTCCCACCAGGATGTGCCTGTTGGTTACCATCTGCACGGTATAGAGAGGAAAATTCACTCTGGCCAGGAGGCCACCTTTGCTCCTTCTGGAAGGCATGATGCTCCAAGATTATCGTTCTCGTCGTCCAGTTTCGCGATTAACGCTTTTCGTCCTCGCCGAGGACCCGATAGACCCAGGGAGGAAAGGACAGATGAAATCAGCACCTGCACATGTCACCTTCACGTACCATCTCATACGAAACGATCCTCAGCAAGTCACAACAGCACGCAGTTTACATGCACTCGTGAAATGACAATACGCGAGATTTGCAAGAAACAGCGAAGTACACGTATGTCTTTTCAAAGTGAAGGTATAGTTGACTTCTTTATGGCTAGATTTCGCTACTGTGGTGTTCCTGTACACGTAGCCAATTATATGTTTATATGACAGAGGATGATTTAAAAATAGTAGAAGACATTTAAAATGTCAAACTGCTCGAAATGACAGCTGACAGCTGTCAAATAAGTCATCTTCACATTTTCATTCCGTTTACGCGTTCTCAATGGCGTAAATTTTTTAAAAATTGAAGTACAAAATAAAAATGTAGATAATGATGCTACTATATTACCGGTTAAGCAAGCTTTCTGAGCATTTCACATAATCAGCTGATCGATTTTCACCCCCCTACTTACCCCGCAAAATGGTGGCAAGATGGCAAGTGCCATAGTGCGTTGTTTGCAGACTTCGAGGAGACAATTAGGTAAGTTTCTAGCGTTCATTTGTCATCAAAGCACACACATAGAATCAAAAATCGTTGATAATACTGTTGATGAAACAGCGTACGTCCATTTCCTCGTGTATTTTCGTAAAACGGCTTTGATTTATCACGACATACTTGTTGCGAGGTTATGTAATTAAATAAGTTTGTACTATTTAAATTTAGGTCTCCTCGGATCTAGTTTGAGTAGCCAGCAGCAGAGAAGGTTCGCCGATGCAGCCCCGGAAGGAAAGGTGATACTTTTCTTCAACGTCTTATCATTTCGGCTGAATCGCACTTTGCATCTTTCTTGCTTCAAAATTTCAATATATACTTCCCTAACATATCCGAAAGATATTCAAAGGATATCTAGAGGACATTTGAATATCCTCTGGGTGTCCTTAGGATGTCCTCTGAACGTCTTTCGGATATGTGTGCTTGTTCTTTTATTTTATTTAAAGAAATGCAAACGAAATGCATAAAATTATGCTAAATGTCAGTACTCGTGTTATAAATGTCTTTTTTTCTTTAACAGAAACAGGGAGCACCCCTGTCCGATCAGGATCGCATCTTTACAAACCTATACGGCAGGCATGACTGGCGGCTGAAGGGTGCCATGAGTCGTGGCGACTGGTACAAGACCAAGGAAATACTGGACAAAGGTGCCGATTGGATCATCAACGAGATCAAGACTTCTGGCCTGAGAGGCCGCGGTGGGGCCGGCTTCCCTTCTGGGATGAAATGGTCCTTCATGAACAAGCCATCGGACGGTAGACCCAAGTATCTGGTGATCAACGGCGACGAGGGCGAGCCGGGAACGTGTAAGGATCGCGAGATCCTGCGTCACGATCCACACAAGCTCGTGGAGGGTTGTCTGATCGCCGGACGTTCTATGGGTGCTTGTGCCGCTTACATTTACATACGCGGTGAATTTTACAACGAGGCGTCCAACATGCAAGTCGCCATAGCCGAGGCTTATCAGGCTGGTCTGATCGGGAAGAACGCTTGCGGCTCCGGGTACGATTTCGACATCTTTGTGGTGCGAGGAGCGGGCGCATACATTTGCGGCGAGGAGACCGCACTTATCGAGTCCATCGAAGGAAAACAGGGTAAACCCAGGCTGAAACCACCTTTCCCGGCTGATGTCGGTGTATTTGGATGCCCCACGACTGTCACCAACGTCGAAACTGTAGCAGTGGCGCCGGTATATTCTGATACTTGGATTTTTTTTTTCTATGATTTATATATATTATAATTATTTTTATTTCTTATCTTTCTAATATGATTTATTTATAACAGACAATTTGTCGCCGAGGTGGAGCGTGGTTCGCTTCATTTGGACGTGTACGCAATCACGGAACTAAGCTCTTCAACATCTCTGGACACGTGAACAATCCCTGTACCGTCGAGGAGGAAATGTCAATCCCCTTGAGAGAGTTGATTGACAAGCATGCAGGAGGCGTAATCGGGGGATGGGATAATTTACTAGGTGTCATTCCTGGAGGCTCTTCAACTCCAGTCATTCCTAAAAGGTAAATTGATTTGATCTCGTTCGGCTTCGATCCAACGCTTCAAAAATCACGACTGAGATGTTCTTTTTCAGTGCATGCGACGAGGTGTTGCTGGACTTTGACGATCTCATCAGGGTGAAGAGCTCGTTTGGCACGGCCGCAGTAATCGTGATGAATAAGCAGACGGACATAATCAAAGCTATTACCCGTTTGTTAAGTTTCTATAAACACGAATCGTGCGGTCAATGCACACCTTGCCGCGAAGGTATCAGTTGGATGTTCAAAATACTGCAGAGGTAAGTACACATTTACATAATTATTTATATAATATATATTATCAAATATAATATATATATATATATATATATATATATATATATCATATATTATATTAATATATTATAATATAAATTATATAATAATTATATAATATAAAAAATTATATAGTATAAAATTGTTATGCAGATTTTATATCATACAAATATATAATTTTTTTCCTCTTAGGTTTGTGGATGGAAACGCCGAGGTGCACGAGATAGACATGCTTTCGGAACTTACGAAACAAATAGAACTGCATACGATCTGCGCCCTGGCGGACGGCGCCGCATGGCCCGTTCAAGGTTTAATCAGGCACTTTAGGCCAGAGATCGAGGCACGCATAAAAGAACGGAAGCAGGCCGCGTCCTGTTGAAGAATAGAGCAAGATAGGAACCGGAGATTAGAAAAATATATTTAAGCTTAATCCCGGTAAGAGATTTCATATATTTATTTTCAGTGTATATAAACGAATTTACAACGCGATAGTCACGATTCCCGTGTAATGTCTTTCGAACCCGAGCTGATCGTCCACTTCGATGGTTCGATTAATAAAAGAAATATAAGAGAAAAAAAACTTATATATTTATATACTTATATATGTACATACATATAACATACGTAGATCGCAAATAGATATCCCTTCCCCTTCTCCTATAAAGATCGCAAATTAGGCCAAAAAGCTCGTAACGCATTCACGAAGGAGAAGCGATGTATTTCAAAATATCTCATCTTAGATACTTTAACGCGAAGGAAACTGATATGATGTAATATGTTCAATGGTAGATATTAAAGAAATTCGAATCCTACGCGAATCGCGCGAGCAATCCACCTCTTCTTTAAGAATGACATTCCTGAAACTAAATAGCACGAGACAACAGGCCGACGTTAGATCTCTAAAAAAATATATGATATCGGAGAGAGAAAAACGTTAAAAAATACAACCAAAAAATTCGATTCATCGTCGAATATCGGTCGAATTTACTTAGGGATTCTAAGGCTAACATTTATCCTTTAACATTTGCGCTCTCTCATGCAAACACCGTACATACCTCGCTCGTTTTACGCGATCTTCGCGAGGAATTATGTTACATCGTTGCGGATGCTCGAAGCTACACGAATTATAGTAACGGCACTGGCGGTGTATTATGCAGGTAACGACGAGACAAACGATATACTGCTAAGACATTGAACGGAAAATATATTTTTGCCACGGAAACGCGCGTCCGGAATGAAGGATAGGGGAGAACCGGCTCTTCTCTTTCTTTATGTATCATATTATATGGGAAAATTCGGAGTGAAACGTCCGATGACAATTAATTATTCGCCATCACCAGAGGTTTCTTATCGAACGATACTTTGCATTTATTCGTTCATCATACAAGAGAATTCGCTAACGCTAACGTTTCCGTTTCGACTATAATTATACGGATAATTAATGTGGCTTTAGAGATTACGGTACAATGTGCGTATACAATACATATATACAAAAGCACACTCATTCGTTCCACAGACCGATATTGTCTGTCTATTTTCTTGTTCTCTCTCTTTCTCGCTTTTTTGCTCTTTTTACCGCCGCTAAAATCGGAACTGTCTTTTTCGCGGATTTTTTTTTTCTCTCGAATTATCGTTAGTTACTTAAATAAGAAGATTTAAGCTAGCCGTTACATTTTTTTTCGGGGTAGCTCGCTTGTTTCAACGAGCTATCCTGGTCGAGTTAGTAAGCGCACACACTGTCTTTTATGATAGGTCCGTTGTTACAATATTTTTCTCTTTTATTCTCTCTCTCTCTCTCTCTCTCTCTCTCTCTCTCTCTATATATATATATATATATATATATATATATATATATATATATACACACACACACGCACACACACACATACATACATACATACATACATACATAGTGTTCCGAAGCGAAACCGATCAACTTTGCCAGTGTATTGATTTTAAGCAAAGAATATAATGTAAAATTGATCGCATTAAGAAGAAATTACAGAGTAAATTATAAAGTTCGAATATGTAACTTTGACTTATTAAACTTTCGATGTCTCGATAGTAACGAAGTTAAATAGATTCGTGGCATTCGTGGCTGATTTACCAAACCCACAAAATTTATCAGCTCTATTCGCTTCGAAACACATTGTATATGTGTGTATACACACACACACACACATATCGGTATCAATCGAGAACACGTGACTCGTAATAATATAATAATAAAATAAAATTATAGCACTCTCGCATTTCACTCGCTTTTGAATTGTACTTGTGAAACGCTTTGTCTTTCCGCCCTTTTCTCTCTTCTTCTTCTTCATCTTCTCGAGAAGGTTCTCGCAGGAAAGGTACATTATGCACGATATGATTAAAAAGCTCGCTGGTCGCTCGCTCTTTGGCATGATCATTGGCTGTCTTTCGGCAAGATCACGCTTATTGTTGAAGACTCCTGCCGCTAGACTCGCATCCAGAGTTTCGCGTTAATACGTATATCTGTCATAAAAATAGACGCGCGCCTCTCTGTCGCGGTTACCATACGTCAATCCTCTATCTTCCTGTTCTAAACAGGAGGAAATTACAATTCCATCTCCTTTTCCTCAAGTCGTCCTATTTCCTAGACGTCTATTCTCGAAACCATGCGAAAACGTGAATGAGAATCACTATACTGTTCGTTAAATGAGATACGCAGGTTTCTCTCATCGTCGACGCGATGTGTATATAGGTAGGAAATGATGCTAATTACTCGCAACCATTACATTTCCCTGGTTTCGAGAATACGATCCGTATTTATGCGACGTGATATCCTTCGAAATTTACGGACGAGCTTGAAATTGACGATCACGATAACCGCGATCGGAGAGTTCCTCTAATAGTATTATATAATGCACGATTGATACCGACGTTATTTATTTCCACTCGTCTTCTCGATTCACGATTCACATTTATGTACTACGGGATCTCATTTTCTCACGCCACGAGTATATTAGCGATATACCACTAAAATATTGTATATACGATAGTAAACGCGGAAATCGCAGGGCTTCGTTGAAATTGTTCCAGAGAGAGAGACGAGTCGTCGAAGCGCGGAGATAAATTTATCGCCAAGTTAGCTGACTTCTGTCAGGCTGAAAGTGCCGAAGTGGTTCGATGCCAAAAGCAACAGCAGCCGCCGCGAATATAACCGATATCACCGGTTCAACTTCGGTTCCGTTCCTCCGAAGTCAATCCCGAGGTCAAATCCGGCGATGATCATTTTACCCCGAGTATACGCTCCTCTCTTTCTCTCTCTCTCTCTCTCCCGGGAACGTCGCGACCCTCTCTCACGCGCGATCGAAACATATATACTCGGATATTTATTCTCCGGGGCTGTCGTTTATTCTTGGATGATAAGACGATGTTGCGCTTCTGCAAAGAGCACGGAATTTTGAGAAATGGATCGAGCGGTATCTCTCGTGAATCAAAATGTCCCGTAAGATCGGAGAGTAATAGTTGCCGGGCGACTCTCGTCGCTCGTAGAAAATAGAAGAGGAGAGACCGCGAGCCTTTCTACGTTTCTGTGTACGTCATAAATCAAGACAAACGATACGATCCATCGGCATCCCACCTCCGACAGATGCATCAATCTTCTCTGTCGCGTATTAGGGGTGTCTCGCGTTCCAGTGGCAGTGACTTTTTGACCGCCGCTGCGCATAAAAGCGTTGAAACTGTCGCGTTTTTTTGTTTTTGTTTTTTACAGAATACATACATTTGTCTCAGTCTGCTTATACAGCATTCGCATAAGTGATTTTTTATGTACGATTTCCGCGCGCGATACGCTGCTATACAGAGTTGCGTTCGAATTACGATATATTGAATGAAGAATTTTATTCAATTATCTATATTTTTTTTCACTATATTAAAAATTAAGAGAAAATTATCTTTAGCCTTTGTCGCCTCGCAATCGTGGTCTTGATCCTTAAAACGTTTTGGTCAATAGATATCGCATTAATATAATCACAGATATATCATCTATATATTTTTTTTGTTACAATATATCTCTGATAAAAAAAAAGGATTACTCTAGAAACGTCATTACTTTTGTAAGTTACAACGAAGTCCTGCGACTTGCAAACATTTGATCGATTGACCGTGCAAAGGTCTTCTTCAAAAGCTGATACAGAGAGAAACGATCCTAGGAACAATCGTTGCGCTTTATTACATCTCTCACTGGCGTGACTTTGCGCTGCAATTACAAATACGACGCGTCCCAAGTTTGTTCACGCAAGAGAAATGTGATTGTGTAAAACCCGAAATAGGCGCCGAGGTACAGGATAAAAATAGCAATAATGATGCTCTGATTTATTATTTGGCTCGCAAAATCAGGACAGCATTAAAGGGCCGATGTACAATGGTGTCTTTTGTCGCTATGATTAATTCGCATAATATAGCATCATCGTCTCGGATCGTTTCCCGCGCAAAATTCGTCCGCATGTGGAATTCGCGCAAGCGACGGGACTCTGCCAGAATAACGAAATGAGAACGCGCGCGTGCAAACTATAGTGAATAGAACATACATTTCTGCGCGCGAAAATTGCTTCCGCTCTTCCAGGTACGTCATAATAATGCGTCGAGTTGTCACTTACATATCGACGGCGAGAAATCGCAGAAATGCAAATCGAGCGACGAGATTGTTCCAGCAATCCCATTTCTCTCGGATCGCAGCCTCGAGAAATCTGACGGCCGGGTTACGGGGATATTGCATCTTTGTTTATCGCATGTATGTACGTGTCTGCCTGCGTGTATGTGTGTGTGCGCGTGTGTATGTGTGTGTAAGTGTTCAGTATTCGTGTACAATGGTCAAAAGATCGCTCGTTGGCGGATGGAAGGCACGGGGTAAGGATATCTCAAAAGGGGATTCGAGACTCGACGACGACGGCGATCGACAAGATCATCCTCGATCACGTCGTACGAACTATCGATCGTCGCCGGCCCAATCGCTCGCCGCCCACGCAGGCAACGGTGTCTCGTATTCCCATCCCGGGCCGCAGTAGCGCCACGCGTGCAGATACATCACCAGATCCGACGGCTTCGGGTCCCTGTACTTGACTTTGCACTCGTAGCAGTGCGGATCGACGGTGACCTTGTCGTTGGCGAAGGTGGAATCCGGCGGTTCCGAGCCCGTCTGCGTTCCTACGGTGACTTTAAGGGATTCCTGCTGCTGCGGCTGCTGTTGCGGTTGCTGTTGCTCGTCCTCGACCAGACCTGGAGTCGACGATGGCGACGAGCCGTTATCCTTGTCGCTGCCGGTACCCAGGACCCGTTCCTCCAGCTCCAGCTTCGGCTTGAACAAACTCATGTCGGAGTCGCCGTCCATGCCGAGCCAATTCTCGGCGTTATGGATACTGATTAGATCACGGACGAGCTCCTCGTCGGTCTTGCCGATGTTACCGCCCTTACCCTTGTGCGGACCGAATACCACGTGATTGTACAGCGGATCATTCACCACAGGATAGCCGAGGTACTGCAGGTGGACGCGGATCTGGTGCATGCGGCCGGTTTGCGGCTTGCACAGAACCACGGACGATTTGCCGTTGTAACTGAGACGCTTGAAACGGGTGACGCAGTCCTTGCCCTTCTCTGAGACCTTGCAGACGCCGATCTTGTAGGAAACCACCTCGATTGGTTCCGAACAGGTCACCTCCTCTTCACCCGGGAATTCACCCTCTACTCGGCACACATATTGCTTGTGGACCTGAAACACGAAAACGCGACATGTACAACACAGTTCGCCGCATCTCCCAGAGTCATCAAGGACGAACGAGCGACGCCAGCTGCGACGCCTGTTTTTCTCAGATACCGAAATGCTTACGCAACAACACCGACCTGCCGATTTCTTATTTGGTGCTCCATCTGCCTCGCCTTCTTCGGCGTTCTACCGAACAGGAGAATACCGCTGGTCAGCCGGTCCAGCCTGTGAATGGTCCTGAGGTTTTTCAAGTTGTACTCCTTCGCCAGGATGAAGACCACGGTGTTGTGCCGGTAACGGCCGCACGGATGCACCTGCGATCACAAAACGGGTCAAACGGTCAAACTTTATTTTCGTACCGCGCTTCGGTTCGCTCAAGAGATTCGCAGCGCGCCGAGGATAATAATATAGATTTCTGGAAAGGGAAAATTGATATCTACGTGACAGGACTTTGCCCCGGGATGATTCTGAAGCATCTAACGATGTTTTCCTTTTTACTCTCTCCCGCGAATCTTTTTCATCGTCTACGACCAGAAATATCTACAGGAAGTGAATCGTGTAGATGATTTGGATTTACGAAGCGCACATTGTTTTGACGAGTTGAGTGCGCCTATCGGCATGTGGCCAATGTAAATTGGATGTACGTAAATACGCGCGCGCACACAGCATCCACGTAGGCAGGGGAACGCGATCGACCCATTTCTCCTAGCAAATTCGGGACAAAAAGCGATCGCGGAGAGCTCACAAAGGAGAGGGAGTCGGATTCACAGCACGAAATTTCGAATCGGCACGGCCCGGGAAACCGGCTGCACTTTATGTATTCGGATCAACAATGTGGAAATTGTATGTATGTACAAATGACCGGTTGGCTGGCTGTCGGATGGTATCGGATTCTTCCTGGTTCGATAAGTCCGCGCGTTTCTATCAACATCGGCGCACAAACGATGGCACGTATCGATACAATAAATGCACGCTCGCTATCGACTCTCCGTAGCGCGAACTTGCTACGATAATACGGCGATTCAAAGCACTTCTTTCGCTCTCGCGAGAGTGTACCGTACTTTTCGATTTCCGACCATAAAGTAAATTGTCAAATCCGTATATTTATATTCCTCGTTTTTACTGAGGAATTCGAAAATAATCTCGACACGTGATACGGTTTAAAGTGGAAATCAATCTTGAGAGTCGGTTTAATATTCGCGATATATTGTAGGTATTTGAAATCGATTCGAAAGAAATAAAATAATTTAACTGTTTATATATAATATTAATAATTCAACTATTTTTCTGTTTTGAATTCAAAAACTTTTTACACTCATGTTTTTCTATAATAAATTCCTCTACGTTATAATTTTATAAAATTATGGCATGTGATATATATTTTTATAGTTGAATTGAAAAAAGAACAGAATTACTCTCATTTATTTATTAATTTGATACACACACACATATATATTTTTAATGTTTTTTTTAAATCTATATACATTTTTTTAATTTAATAAATCTGAAAATTTTTTTAAATTTAATATATTTTTAATGTATCTTTAATGTATCTTTAATGTATCTATCATTATATCATTTCACGAAATTATAGTATAGTTTAATTTTTTAATGTATCTTTAATGTATCTCTAATATATCTTTATCATTATTATTTTACAAAATTATAAGAAAATGTGTTCTATTATTTTTTCATGTGGAATATTGCATATTTTTTTTTAATATACTTCTATCAATACAATTTTATGAAATTATAATGTAATATACGTTATACTAATAAAATCGTTAATACTGATAAAAATTGAAAAAAAAAAAAAAAATAGATAGAGAAAATTTAAATAGAAAAGATCAATCAAAATTAATATTGGACGCTAGTGGTGAAAATAAACTTGGCAAAATTGATTTCGACGTAACTAGCAATTTTATTCAATACTTTCACGACGTTTCGAACATTTGGTTGTGGTCCTTATATCAAGTGAGAATTCCATCAATTAAAATGAGATTAACGCGACATAAAACCGATCTTATTTAAAATTAATAGTTAAAAGAGTTTCAGTCGTTGAGACGAAACCTCATAGCGATGGGACGTGTTCCTCTTTTAACTATTAATTTTAAATAAGATCGGTTTTATGTTGCGTTAATCTCACTTTAATTGATGAGAATTCTCACTTGATAAGGACCACAACCAAATGGTCGAAACGTCGTGAAAGTATTGAATAAAATTGCTAGTTACGTCGAAATCAATTTTGCCAAGTTTTAAATAAAAAAGACTGAATAATTTTATTATTACTGTAGCGTATGAAACGGCGAAAGAAATGTGAGGAAATGAAGGCGACGCGACGAAGTGCCGCTGTCTCTGCAATTGCATAATAACGCTTTAACGATGTCTGCACGCGAAAATTAATTCGGCCAATCGTCAGGCGACCCGGGGTCTCCGCGGGACCACTTGCCGACGAACCGGAGGAAACAAAAAGAAAAAAAAAAAAAGAGGAAAAAAAGGTGCTCGAGAGAAAAGAGAAAACAAAGCGGAAAGCGACCCATTAAGTTGGGAATCGCGCCTGTGCCACCCACCGGGCACTCGGATTATTTTTGCATTAATGCCCGGCGTTTTGTTACGCAAGCCCTTGTTAACGAGTCCCCCGGGGGGTGGAAACGCGACGTGCATTCGGTGACATTTGAGAGGAAAAGTAGCCGGTTTGTCGAGTTCTCTTTATCTCTCTTTCTCTCGTTATACGTGCTATCGCGAATCGCGGATGAGTAAAACTTGCAATCGGCGCATTAACGTTGTATAACTAACACAGTCCCGCGAGAGGAAAACAAGAAAAAAAAGATGGAAAGAAACGACAAAGAAGGTGCATTAAAATTTCACAGACTATCGTTTCTCTTTTTCCGACAAGATTCACCGGTTTTATTTCCCCGACGTATGTGTGTTGCAGAGACTTTTTGCAAAATCAACCCCTTTTGACGCAAAAAAAATTATCCTTTTCACGAAGCGCCGAATCCTCTCTTCTGCAGGCTGATATTTCATAAAAAGAAAGAGAGAGAGAAAGAGAGCATATATACGCTTTTTTGCGCGAAAGGATTGAATTTAATACAAAAGAGACCGCGATATGTGTATTGTCGCGCATACGTTATTACGATTATGTCATGGATGGAAATAGCCCGCGAGATCAAAGTGTTGCTAAAATACAAAACGAAAGAGGAGAAACTGGGAAATATTTCTTCGGCAAGAGAGGAAGCCTTTAAAACCATTAGCTACGCCAATGAATCACCGATACACGGTTTAATGCATCGGACTCGTGGAATTGCATCCGCCACCGGTTTTTCCTCCTCCGTGTCCTTTAGTCACGTGTTTTTACAGCGTTCGCGGAGCGCGACATTATCGCGAACGACAATAATAGCGAGGAGAGTAAATTATCCGTGATTTGCGAGCGGCGTAATGCTTGCGATTAACATTTTAATAGCGAGTTTTACTCGCGCGCGACTTGGGGTGGTTTATGCGAATCTCGTCCGCGCGCCCAGATTTTCCTCTCTTTTGTGCCTCTTTCCTTTTTTTATTTCTATCCCTCCTGCCTTCCCTTCTATAGAATACCGTCGCGATTGTTTCACACCCCGGAGGAATCGGAAGAGAGAGAGAGAGAGACCGAAACGTTGCATTTTAAAGAGCAGAGACACCCTTGACGCCCCAAACGGCGCGCGTTCGTTAATTCGCCTTAATTTTCGCGTTTTGTTTGTCAGTCTGAGAAGAACGACTCGTTAGCGGCGATTTAGTCCGTGGAGGAGAGAGGGAGGAAAAAAAAGGGAACGCTAACGAAACACCGGAAAGTCCGACGTTTAGCGAAGGTGTGAATGCTGTTCGCGCTTCCGATTGTCGACGGGGTGAAATTTAATTTAGGGAAAACATACTCGAATATATATGTTTATTTGGACGAAACGAGAGTATCTTCGATATAACAGTAAGGTACAAAAGATTGTAATTCGGGGATTCCAAATTTGATGGGTCTCTAACATCTCGTGCTCTGGGGAGAATTTTTTGTTTAAAGGAACGATTATATACATATATACAATATATGTTTTATATTTATTACATATATATATTTTATATATATAATATATATAATTTATTATATATAATTATATACAATTAAAATTATAAAATTATATATATTACATATAAAGAGAGTGGAAATCACAAAAGTAAATTGAGCAGGTGGAGCGTAAAGTGTAACGAATACGTAGACCATGTCGAGGGGTGAATTCATGCAAGATAGCATGCGATCCCGTGAATAATGCGTACTTAATATACGTATATAGATGCGTGTGTATGCGTGTATACGTGTGTGATTCGGTAGACAATACAACAAACAAATTTTCTGGCAGTACAGTTCTGGCAGTACACCACTTACAGGGATGGAGGCGGGCTTGTTGACCACGACGACGTCCTCGTCCATGTGTATCACCGTGATCGGCTCCGAGGTGACAGGCACCTCGTGTCTGCAACACACCAATCGCAACCAGCTTAACGTGGCTTTGTTCCGTTTGCACGTTCTCGCATATACAATACATACGTGCGTACGTAAACGTAGATAGACGCGTACACAAATATATATATATATATATATATATATATATATATATATGCATATATATGTATATATTCGTACATGCGCGTAAATTCGTACATCGCAGCGGGTGATTCTCGCGCGACAGGCACAGAAGAGAGAGAGAGAGAGAGAGTATTAATACTCGTGGGAAGTAACAGGGGTGTCGGTGCAAGGTGGTGGTGTGCACGATCGATTCGGATCGAAGGTAATCGACAGGTGATCGCCGATGTTATAACGTTCGTAGGAGAAAGGCGCCGCGTGTTCGATCTGATATAATCGCCGTAGCTTGATATTTTGCTGGCCGTGCCGATTTTTCGCGGTCACCGGCTGCGTTTACTTATATAAGGGAAATTCGCGCCTCTCGCTATTCCGCGGATCGATCGCGGGTAAAAGTTGCACCGGCTGGCATTCTCTCAAACACACACACACACACACAGACAGACACCTATATGCGAAAGCGAAGCGGTAACGTAAAGTGCCGACTCGACGATCCCCGAACACGGCTTTTATCCAACATTAAGGTAAACAAATTAACGCGGCGAAAAGAGCGCGTTTCCGCGAGATATAGAAAGCGAGAGAGAATGAGAGTAAAGAGAAGGAGGAATGAAAAAAAGAAATGAGGGATAAAAAAAATATGGCAGAGATGGTTCTCGCGCGTCGACCTCAATTATGCGTTCCATCTACCTAATGTATTTCCACTTGGCGAAACTATACGGCCGCGAAACTATACGTTCGTGTCCCGTGCACGTGCATTTTTCTCCACGCGAACGATAATAAGGGGAAGAGGGAAAGCAACCCCTTCGGCGCTTCGAGAATTGAATTTGCGAAATCTTTTTCCGTCCACCACTTTGTAAAGTGCCGCGTTCGCGATAAATGGCGTATTCGCAATAGCTGCGAATGTCGAATAAAACACACGCGACAAACGGAAATTCAATTCGAGACGTGTCCGCAAACTTTAGAGATTTTCGAGACGTCGCGTCGCGGAGAAAATCCCGGATGGGGAGACCGAAAATCCCGGGGTTCTCCCGAATGTCGGAAAACTAATCGCGAATCGCTGGCATCGTTAGGGCTCCATTCTCGAACGAAATCGCCCTTTTCGAAGCAAAGATCGACGAGGAATCGTAGCGGAAACGTACAGCGGTGAAAAATACTAAATCATAGAAGTAGAGATCGAGGGCAGAATTACAATGGCATTTCATAGCTGAGCGAGAGACAAGCTGAATTTTCTTCGAAAAATACATACATCTGCAATAGTCTGCTTCTTCTAGAAACCGTATATTCATTTATAATTCAATTATGCGCAATTAAATTATACCCGTATCAATTTATAATTTAATTGCGCATAATTAAATTATAATACACATATAATTTAATCATTAACGGAACACCACGTCTCTAATAAGGCCGCCTCGTCCATTACATCACGTGCATATAACATTAACAAAACCACGATGTTAGTCACGCACTAATCTAATGTTTCAGCACTGCTCTATCAGAAGTTATGTACATGTATTTTATTCAATCTTTCCCCTTAAAGCGGAAAGTGGATCACTGAAAAAGAAACGAATATATATATATAATCGAGGCTTGTATACTTATCCTGAAAACACGTGCGCCCTTTTACTTTTATTCGACATATACGAGTACTTCTGGCTTCCCTCATTTTTTTTCGTCCACGCGCGCTTCCTTTAGGGCAAATAATTCACGAGGGCCAAAATGTACTACGCACGAGACCCGGAATAAGTAACTTCTATCTTCCAATTGGCTGACACGATATTATGCAACCTCACAACGAGAGGCAATAAATCGCTTCCGTCTCGTAAATCACATTTCCGCACCAACATTTCGGGTTCGCCACTTTCAAAGTATCTTCGTCCCGCGTACATGCACGCATACACACACATACACACACGCGCGCGCATAGCGTTTCCGCTCGCTTTAAAGTTTAGAATCGACAGAATTTCGAGGCGTGTCACATAAAGGGAACATTAAATCATATATATATTCGGTCCCGTCGAGATGGCGGCGGATATAGCACAATGTGCTCCACGGAGAAGTGTAATACTTTTCTTATCCTATCTTTAGTCACGCTGGCAACTATTCCAAGTGCTTTGTCGCTTCTGCAGATTCCGCTTTCCCTCTCGCACATGCTCTCGCTCATTCCTTACTAATTTTATTCACCAACCCTCCAAATAGAATAAATTCTCTATTTTAATAGGAACTGTCAAACCAGAAATATACATTTATTGAATTATTGCAAATAGGATCTGCATACAGGGTGTCCCAGACTTAATGGGACGTTAAACGTTAATGGGAGATTCTTGAGGCGATTGGGAGACGATTTTTCCTCAGCAAAAATGTCCAGGTGATTTTCGAGTTAGAAACGATTGAAGATAAAAGCTTTTTTGTAAAATAAATTATTAACAAAACTACATGTTTTAGTTAATTTCAGGTAAAGTTCACTTTGATAGAATTTTTAGTTAATTGTTAGTTACAAAGATACATGATTTCAAAAATTGGGAACATTCAAAAAATGATGACCTTCCTCGACATTTTTGCTGAGGAAAAATCGTCTCCAAATAACTTTAGGAGTCTCCCATAAATGGACACCTTGTATAGTGATGACAAACGCAAGTTAAATATAATAGACACATATATATAACTGATTACAAGTGGACAAAATCAGCGAAATGTTCACTCTACCTGAAATTAACGTCGTTTAGTCAATCGCTTATAACTGATTTTTGCTAAGGAAAAATCGTCTCCAAATTAAATCATTGGTCCGTTAGTTCCCTGTATATATCTGTTCTATACCGAAATACCGAGTCATCCCGATTGCAAATGATTCGAGCAAAACTTACATCCAAACTGCTTCTCTATCAAAAAATTTTTTTTTCTATTCACGATGTTCGACGAATCGGCGATCGATCCGAGGTATCTGTCAAGATCAACAGCATCCCCCGATCGGAGAATTCGCTTCGCGTCATGATCCACCATTCGCGAATCCGTTGTTTCTTCGCGGTTGACATTTGGAAGAGGCGCGACATCACAATCGGTTTGCGTGGCTGACGTAGAGAGAAACGGCGACAACTGTGGCCCAGAAGAGCCAGGGCTCTTCCAAATTTAACGCGGGTCACATGCCGAAGTGACATACGCGTCTTCGCAAGATATATACGCGTTCTGACAGAGATCGCGCTCGTGTATAGAATCGAGCTCGCAATGTTGGAGTCGGAATCGCCCAAGTGTAACAACGGGACGATATTATTGCGGATCCTCCGAAAGACAATACCTGGTGCAGAGAGAGAGAGAGAGGGAGAGGAAAACTATTGTTGTTCGTCGCGCGGACGGGAGGAAAGTGAGGCGAAGCGAATTTATTTTCGGCCGCCGGTCGCTGTTGCAACAGAGAGGGAAAACGCAATCCTGGCTTTCGACGATCGACGACGTAACTCGCAACCGACGCGTCGGCCGATTTATTTCATCGCGACCGAGAAAAATTGCGCGTTAACAAATATTGCGTTTACTTAATCGCGCGTCATCGGAGAAGATTGAACGACGCCTCCTGGCGTCCGGTTTATTTTGTCCCCCGAAGTTCGGTATCCCGTCGCGGATGATTTAATATATAAATGGAGAGCTAATTGCATCTTCGACCAGGTCGCCGAAAGAGAAATCCGAATGATCGTTTAAATTATTATAACGCAAACGCGCCTGCGCGGATATATTTGCGCGAAATCCCGTTAACTTGGCTTGGAATCCCGAGCAAACTGGAGTGAAAATTATTTTATAATGAACGAATTTTCGAGAAATTTCGCGGTACACACGCGCGTTCAAATTCGCACAGGTAGTTTCTATATATATATGTATATATATACATATATATATAACAGAATAATATTGACTTTACTCGTGGCATACCGCAATCGATGCAGTTGACGCACTTGCGCGTCCGATTTACATATACACATACACAGGATATGTGTCTGTTATATGTGTATATATTGCGCTTAAAATGATGTTTATTTTAGCAATTTTTAAAATCCCTGCAAATTATATGATATAAATATATATGCGTTTTCGAAACGTGTCAAGTGCTTTTTATTATGCTCTATTTTTTTCATCGCGCTATTTGATGGCTAAATACACAGAAAGATTTACATGTTACTACACATTACGTATATATACATATGTATATATATATATATATATATATAAAATATATTACTCTTTTATATAAATAAACATACACATATACGTGTATAAAATTCTATATATAGCTTTATATTATACTCTCCACTTCGCGAATAATATTAACTTTGCTCTCGCGCAATCAACGCATTGCCGCTCACCGTACGATTTGATATTTACGTAACCCGACGTTTATTTCTCTATTGCGCGATGTGACGTGGAAATTTTAACTGCCGACTCGGTATACGTATGCACGTAGCCATCCATACGTGCGATGTATATGAGTTGCGTTTTTTGTAGCATATCAGCGCTCTTGTCCAAAAATTTGTCTAAACTCGTGAATTCTGTCAATCTGTACCGATGGCACAAAAAAAAAAGATTTAAATAAAACTGCGACATTAAATACTTTATATGCATAATTACGCGTCGCGCCCGATAAATGCGTCACATTACAGAGATCGCAGTTGATCGCGTATGTATGTACGCGTGTATATGTGTGTAAATTAATTAATATATAATTCACATAATATACAAATGTACTGTAATCGCGCCGCGCGCTCCAGGTCTTCCCATCGCGACCAATCATAACGACAAAACAACGAGGGAGAATATAGTGCATCCGCGGTTTTGCATCTGTATCGTTTTGTGTTTCGAAGCGCCACTTTCGCCAACTCGTCGAAAATTTATGATAACGATGTTCTAACGAAA